TACATCGGTGCAGAAGTTTGGGAGTGCAAATAGCTTGTGCAAGTTTTGATTTACTTTTTAGTTTTTCTATTTTTATCTTATTTTGTTTGTTTGTTTGTCCGATACCATATCTTTCCCGCATCGTAGATTTTCCCACATAACATAGAGATTTGAATCGTAACAACAACCTTATTCTTTGCTTCCGGCAATTTTAACAGTTTCAGTCAATCAGTGTTTTCAACCTTATAATAGTTTATTACTGTTTGAATTATAACAAGTTAATATTTAACACCAGTTTCCACTTATAATGTTTATTTTAATGGGGAAGCAGCATTACAGAGTCAATGAAAGATTCCGACAACCCAAGTAATTAGCCAACCATTCTATCTCTGAAAAATGAAGTTTATGAAAGCTTAACTTGTTTCTCTCTATGTGGGGCACCTCTTGATTAATTCAATTGTTTTTCTATTAAATTAAAGGTAGATGAAGCTATCAAATTGTTATATTTATGGTTCAGTTATTCTCTCGATGTTGAAGCTCACCAAATCACTTGAGTCTGCATTCTGCAACCGTTCTGTATTGATTGCACGCAGAAGTACCGGGATAATTTAACTGACTGTTATCATATCAAACTCTTCCTTATTACCTCTCTCTCTCTCTCTCTCTTTCTTTCTCTCTCTACACAGGATTAATTACATCGATCAAACTCGCTCGCTTGTGAAGAAGATGATGCTTATATAAGCTGCAAGTATGTGCCAGCTTCCTACGTCAAACTGAGTGGCTTTGGAAAGCTGCTCCCTCCACTGAATAATTTATTCAGGCTTAAAATTGGTTACGTTTGTTGTGAGTGGCTATTTCATTCCGCCATTACTAATTAATTATTAATAGCGTTAATTTTATATGTTTTTATGGATACCATAAGTGCATACTGATGAAGGCGGATTTGGTCCTCCAGTGAATTGTGACACATGACACCTCATGCCAAATGTGTAGCCTCTTAACAACTAGATAGCTCGAGCTAGCCACAAGCAGTTCGCTATAGGCAGCTTGCCACAGGCAGTTCGCCATAGGCAGCTCGCTACAGGCAGCTCACCACAGGCAGCTCACCCTTAGCCTGGCACAAGCGCGGCTTGGCCTTGGCGCGAGCTAGCCCTGGCACGAGCTGGCAGCCTGGCCCAGACACCGACCCGCCGCCTAACATAGGCGCCGACCTGACAACCCGGCCCAGGCGCCGACCTAACAACCCGGCCCAGGCGCCGACCTAACAACCCGGCCCAGGCGCCGACCTGGCTGCCTGGCCCAAGCGCCGACCTGGCTGCCTGACACAGGCGCCAGCCTGACAACCCCGAGGAGCTCACCACCGTACCCCGGTTCTGACGGGATGTGACGAGTCTTACCATTTGAAGGCTTTTCACCCACCTAACACGCAACAGGTTCCATAGGGGAGAGAAAGGAAAAAGGATGGTAACCCCTGCTCTCTAACTCTCTCATTCTCTAATATCATCTTCAAGCTCTCTACTATCAGAGTGCTAACTTAGCCATCGGAGTGACCTCGCCGGGTAAACACCCCTGGGTTCTCTGATTCAGTTCTCGCAGGTTACGTCAATTGCCGCCGTCTACAAAGAGGAGCAGATCATCTCATGTAGGGAGCAATCGGGTTGCACTACACTAGGGAGCTCGCCACCAAGGCAGCTCACCACCAAGCAACTCATCAAGGCAGCTCACCACCCAACAGCTCATCAAAGTAGCTCACCACCAGGCAGTTCGCCACCAGGGAGCTCCACTTCAGCCACTTAGTCACCAACCACACGGAAGCAGACGAGATGACGAGATACTTAGCCAAAAAATTGACACATCACGAAAAAATGATACGTGACCGGAAACCGTCACATCACATACTATGCGTACTTTGTGCATGATAATTCTAAAGGATGATAATGATAATAATAATGTATCTAAAATTTCCTATAAATATGTATTTTTATTTTTTTTTGTTTTTATGTTTTTTGCTTTTTATTATTAATCAGATGCATGCATATTGCAAAATCCAAATCTTATTACATAAACACCTCATTTAAATATGTGATAATTGAATCGATTTATGAAGTTTCAAATATCATTGAAATGTCTACTTGCTCGGTTAGATTCTTCTTTTTATAATATTTTATCATTTTTACCATAGAAATGTAAAATTTAAATGGAGGGAATTGAATGAGATGAAAATTATTAGTTCAATTTGCAATTTAATCCTTATAATTAAATAGGGACTGAATTCAAAATTAAGTTTTTACTCAAAAGAAAGTTCCCCAATCTTATTTATATTTTTATTAGCAGTGTAAATATAAAATTATAGATGTGTTCAATTTTTTCTATAATTCTTTTATATTTCTGTGTAAAAATAATTCCAATATGTCACACTTACTTTTTGTTTAATATGATAATTAATTAATATTATACATGTTCATAAATGTTTCTTTGCAATATTTATGTATTTTTATATTTTATTAACTTTTATTATTTATTTATGACATTGAATGTTAAAACCCAAAAGTTGAACTATTGATCTTTGCCAAATAGTAAGACAATTTCATTTTTGGTCAGTTCTAATGTATGCATTTCATTTTCATTATCAATAAAAATAACTTTTTAGTACACTTATTTTTTAATTTAAATAAGAAAAGTATCATAAATGTGTCTAATTTTTTATACATTTTTGTAACTTTTATATTGTTTCTACTTTAAAAATTTTATTACCTAACTATAACTTCATAGGCTTATCAATTTGATTCGAATGATTGAATTGCTTAGTCACCACTTGGATAAAGAATGGTTTTGCTTTTTAGCTAGTTTTAAAATATATTGGTTTATATCATTAAAAATATTAACATAGATTTAATTAGTAATATTTATTGGTGAAAAATAATATAAATATAGGATTTAATAAGAGAAAATGGGAGTTAATACCTTTAAGTATAAGACTTAATGAAAGGGAATTAAATGAGGTGAAAAGTAATAATTGAAGTTACATTTTCAACCCTTACAATTAGTTATGTAATAAATAGATAAATATGGGCATTTTAGTAACAATCAAAAGTTGGCATTAAAGTTGTAATAAAATGACTTTCATACCCTTTATTAAACAAGGAAATAGAGGGTCATTTTAGTCCAAAAAACTTTCACTTTGTATTTGCACTTTTATATATAGTATAGATCATTTTTTCTTTTGTTCATTTATAAAAAGAGTGTAATATTTAAATAAAGTGAATTGAACCAGACCGTATGATCGAACTGTTTGGCTCGGGAACTAGTTAGGTCATTGATTCCGTTTTGGCCCAAAACCGCTATTTTTACAAAAGAAAAAAGAAAAAGATAGGAGTAAGGGTGTAAAGATAGGAAAACCAAACACAACCTTAGATGATGTTTTAAATTTTCACATGTCAATAATACAACTGTTATTTTCCAATTTCTCATTCCAACCTTATCTTGATAGCCACTTTTAAGTATATTTGAATGAATGACACTTATTGACACTATTTATGCAATTTCTCTCCCTCTTTCTCTCTCTCTTACCTACTCTGCACATGCACATAGGACACTTAACTAATACGAAAGAAATTAATGAGGGACCTTGAATCATGGAAGACTTTGAGCTAGGAAAATAATGTCAATGGGGCAGATTTGGAGTGGAGATTAATTTTTTTTTCATCCCGTCTCTGTTCCTCATTGATGATAAAAATGAACCTCCATGGAAATGAATTTGGGACCCGAATGCCGATTTTTTTTTAATTAATTTACCACTTAATTAATATCATTAATCACCAAATAACATAGAGACTGAAACTTATTCAATATATGTAATGGTAATTTTATAATTTTCAGATATACTCACCAGAAACAGTTTTGGCAATGTTTAATATAGGATGTGGAAAACAAAAGACTTGCGATATGTTTAATCAAGAACTCGACCTCTCTGTGTCTAGATTGAAGAACCAGTCTAACCACAGAAGACAACTTTCTTAAGGATGGTCATCACCAACCCTCGAAGACTTCCTTTTCCTCCTCCATATTTAAAATCAAATCTTCTTTAATTTCTTCACCAAGACGTTTATGTGTGAAAGACAGAAGCTAGCCATCTATCTGCGACTCGTTTCGGCATTTAGTCTCATGATTCATACTTTTTTCTTCACCCAAATGGTCTCAATCCTTCTCCACTCTATTCGTCTATTTAAGAATCATTTTAACATCGACACCCACTAAAGAAAGATTCGTGTCAATATAAAACAACCCATTCCAATTTAGCAGCTGACTCAAAACCAGGTATGATATAGTGAGTCCCAGGCCAAGGTTTAAGATAAGCATATATACCAATGTGATCAATTCTTTCAACTTTCTTATTACTTAATTACTAAAAGATAATCAGTTAATAACATTGTGATTTGTGACATAATAACCATTAAGTAACATTAAGGCTGTGTTTGGTTTGATAGAACAGAAAATTCCTTAAGAACTTAATTGGCCTCATTAATTTTTTTTCTACATATATGTCCCTTATTTCTACCAAAACAAACATGGCCTAAGGAATTAATAGTTATTTAGCTAGGTATTAAAAATGGACAAATGGGTCTTAGTATGCACTGAGAATACGTATGATTTCAACCACCTAACAACCCACTTCGCATTAAAAGTTGAAATTTTATGAGCCCCTTCTTTATGCTGGGGACCTCTTAACTAAATGATTGATTTATATTGTGCTAATTAATTAATTAGCATATGTTAATTTCCCATGCATCAATACTTCTTAATAGCCAAGTAATCTTATTTTAGGGTTCCTTTTCTGGAAATTTAGATTTTGACCAAATCACGACGCCTACTGTTTTCTTAGACCACGCGGTATTAGACTTAATTTCATCACCATCTCTCATTGATTTACTCAGCAGAGAGGAAACATAACTAAAAAATTTTCAATAAATAGGTCACTTGTTCGACATCAATCCTGTCTTGTGCCTGGCACACGCCTCTCTCTCTCTCTCTCTCTCGTGCTTTCTCCTGCGAAAGGTATGTCTGCCAACCCCGGCCCCTGAGCAACCATCTTCTCTCTTCTGATCTCTTCTAGTGTTCTTCTTCGTGGCGATGGGTGTTGTGCTGCATGGTCTGACTGATTTTGTTGTCTGTTGATCAGTCGATTGCACACTGACCGTTCAGTTTTTTCACAAAACTACTGCGCTTTTTTACAGATAGGGTGGCTGGTGCTTCGTACGATTGGAAACGATGAGGATTGAAGTAGTGCCGTTGTTAGCTCTGCTCGTGGCGATTTGCAGCGGAGCTGCCTCACAAGCCGCCCCGCCTCCTGTCACTGACGCTGCTCTAACTCAAGTGGCCGCTTCTCTGCAAATGTTCGTGGATGAACTCCCACAGATGCCCAAGCTCTATGGCTTTTCCTTACGAGCTGGAAAGCCCGCGCCTGGAAACCTCGTCGTTGGCATGTTTGAAAAGAAATGGGTACGCTGTACGCATGATGCCTATAACTCTAACAAGTGCACTCCGGATCCAGGTCCAGGGCCTTCAAATGGATTTCATCCAATTGGATTTGGATGGATATCCATTTAATCATGATTGGATCGGATCGGATTTAAATATATAATGCATGATTCAATTTAATTAAGGGATCCAATGGGATTTGGAATTAAAACACACCAGTTTTTCTATTTATAGTGGATATTTATTTATATTTAGATTTGATTTACTGAGTTTCTGATCAAATTAGATGTCTGGATTTCTATATGAATCGGATTCGAATCCAAAGACATCAAATTTGGATATAATTCATTTATGTAGAATTATTGCAATATTGTTGGAGCCCGGAGGTCTGGGAATCGGGGTGAACCTAACTCCTTAACGTGGGCCGGAGTTGGGTTGGGAATTTGTCAAATTTTCAATGGACCCGAATCTAAACCGGACCCTAATTGTGGTGACTCTCACTTTTCTTAACTCTGATCTCATGCAGAAATTTCACCGCGATTTGCCAGCAACGACAGTCTTCGCTTTCGGGACAAGCGCAGAAGACGCAACCGTGCCCGGTCCCACAATTGAGGCCATCCAGGGGATACCGGCATACGTGACGTGGCAAAATCACCTCCCTCAAAGCCACATACTCCCGTGGGATCCCACCATCCCCACCGCAATCCCCAAGAACGGTGGGGTCCCAACCGTGGTGCACCTCCATGGTGGAATTCACGAGCCACAGAGCGATGGTCACCCCGATGCCTGGTTCACCTCCAACTTCAGAGAGACCGGGCCCACCTGGTCCAAAGCCACCTATAGCTATCCAAACGTCCACCACTCAGGGAATTTTTGGTACCATGACCACGCAAAAGGATTGACACGTGTCAACTTGCTAGCTGGCCTGATTGGACCTTACGTCATCCGCAACCCAGTCCTAGATGCCTACCTGAACCTTCCCTCCGGCCCTGAGTTCGACCGGCACCTGATGATCTTCGACCGGAGCTTCAATAGGGACGGTTCCCTCTACATGAACTACACCGGCGTTGTCCCGTCCATCCACCCTCAGTGGCAACCGGAGTACTTCGGCCATGCCATCGTCGTTAACGGCAAGGCCTGGCCCTACCTGAAGGTACAGAGGCGGAAGTACAGGTTCAGGATCATCAACGCCGCCAACGCACGATATTTCTCGTTGTCATTAAGCAACGGCCTCCCATTTATCCAGGTGGGATCCGATGGGTCCTACCTTCCGTCACCGGTGCAAACACAGACTGTGGTCTTAGCACCCGCCGAGATTGCCGATGTGATCATTGACTTCTCAACTTCCAGCGTCAATGAGATTGTAGTGAACAATAATGCACCCTATCCATACCCAGGCGGTAGCTCTGTGGATCAGCTCAACTCCAAGGTAATGAAGTTCATAATTGCACCGGGCAAGCCGAAGGTACCAGATACCTCCAAGATCCCAACCAGTCTAGTGAGTTACCGGGCGACGCCGACGGTAGATGGTGCGGTGAAGAAAAGGTACATAGTGTTCTACGAGTACATGACCCCTTCCGGGGATCCCACTCACTTCTTGATAAACGGTAAAAAGTTCTCCGACCCAGTGACGGAGACACCGAAGTCCGGTAGCACAGAGGTGTGGGAGGTGATCAACTTGACCGGGGACGACCACCCATTACACGTACACTTGGCAACATTTCAGGCGATCAAAGTGCAGGACCTGGTGAATGTGGCCCAATTCAATAGCTGCATGACAACCAAAAACGATGCCATCGCCTGCAATGTAGCGTCATATGTCACCGGAAAATTGACAGAGGTACCTCGGAATGAAAGGACGTGGAAGAACATAGTGAAGATAGCGCCGAATACCCAAACAACCGTCGTCATCAAGTTTAATCTGGTCGACACGAATTCTCCTTTTCCATTTGACGCAACTGCAGAACCCGGATATGTCTACCATTGCCATGTAAGTGAGAGGCCTCACTAGCTCTGAATTCTGAAACAAGAAAGTGTGTTAAAGTAAAGTAATATTGTTTGGTTCTCCTTCTCATTCCCACGGTTAATTTGATGATATATACTGAATCCTGATTTTCGTGAATGCAGATTCTGGATCACGAGGATAACGTCATGATTCGGCCATTGAAGTTGACTTCCTGAAGTTTGATGACATGAGAGAACTGCTTGACCTTGAGTTTCTCTACTTTTTTCTTTTCAGTGTGCTTGTGAGTCGTCTGAGGTTAAATAAGTGCACGATATGATCCATGTAATAGCACAAATTACAGATTACAGATTACGGAGACTTAATTGGTGGAATGATGATGATTTACTGTTTTACAAAGCAAGAAACAGCTCCCTCTTGATTTGTATATTTTTATCTACAATTACAAGCAAAAGGAATAAAACACAAATTTTGGCGAGAAACCCTTTAACAAGCCAAACCTGATAACCCCGGCACGTCTGGTCACGGTCTAGGCTTGGCTCGGTCATTGCCTGCTAGGGCTTTTTCTTGTATGGGCTGGGCCTAGGACAATGGGGCCTAACTACTTCTAAGATTGGGCCCTGGGATTCCCCGAAATTCCTGCTTGTCCTATCCAAATTTTATGATTCAGTTCTAAAGAAGTTGTAGACTTGCAATAGTGATCACTCTTCTTGGTTCTTTTTTAAGCCTGAAAAGGCAGCATATAATGATAAATGCTCAGACTACAAACAAGATCAAACAATCAGAAAAAAAAAAGCATGAACTGAACATGAACCGACAAATAAATCCAACATCGATCAAGCAACAGACCAAATTAAACTTGATCATGAAGAACAATGAATGGAACATACCCATGTACACATCATAGTAAGAGGTTCTAAAACTCAAGCACTCTTGTCTATTTTTAAAAGACAGCTTTATTTTTTCCCTATTTAATATTACTAGATGAGATGTTTTCAGTAAGAGTATTTACTAAAGATCTTGACCACCAAACTAAGATCAGCCAATTAATCTTGAAAGCCTAAGTGATGTGAATGGTTTCAATTAACCTGGGCTACGAAAGTGATATAATCATTAAATAATATATCAAATTAACCTAAAGGTTTAGGCCATTAAATGGTTCTAGATGAAACCGTTAATTAATCTCAACCATCCAAATGATGTACCTCTATTCCACAAAGTACAAAACCAAGCCATCCAAAAAAATACAATTTAATACAAAAATTCTAAACATCAAAACGGTCTCCTTGGAACAAAGAATCAATCTTATCCATCCAAGCAATTTACAGAGATTTTAACTAATCTCAGCCATTCAATAAGGCCGCCCCTAAACCGCCTATACAACAGCGGTGCCAACAGCAGACCTGGGCACAAGTTTAATATAACCCTAAAATCAGTTGGGATCAGGTAGGCACAACGTTGTAAGCACGTTTAATGGGCATTTGAAATTTAGTTTTGGCACTTATCCCTTAAACCATTGTTAAATATTATCTAACGTACTTACTTATGTTGTATCTATTAGATCTGGTCCCTCTAAAATACAGGGACTCTATAATTTACCTTCTTTTTGGCTATAAAAAGACTCAAACTTTCATTAGTTCATAGTGGGGACTGGGAAGAATGAGCGATACAGTCTTAACCAACGTCTCCCATCAGTTTGGCTATTACTCTGTTATGGACTTGTTTTACGATCATGAATTTGAACGTCGATTTCATTGTTATTATATTATTGCACTGCATTCATGACATTACGTATCAAAGCAGTTCTTAGTGTTCAGAGTCGTCTTGTCCGGTGGATTATTTAATTAGCAACGTCCTATATATTTTTTCACGTTGATACACAGAACCAGATTATGAAAGAAATCATGTCCCAAGTCCCAACCGTTAAAGATAATAGAAATTTCCAATTATATATATATATATATGATGTAGCGCGATCTGCTCGAGGTGATTTGGCTTTCAAGCGGACGACGAATTAAGTTGATCTGCAACGAGGTTGCTCCGATGCTTAACTTAGTATATTATTGCGAGATAGAAAGCTTTAGAATGCAGAGAGCTAGAGAGTAGAATAATCACGTGTACCTTGAACCTCCAGGGATGGAGACTTTATACAGTCGAGTCCTCGCGGGTTTCGCGGATCAGTTTCGGGATCTTCGCCATGATAGGATCCGTTTCCGCGTTAGTTGGAAGATAATGCTACCAACCGATAAGGTTCATCAATTCCGCTCGAATCGGTCGGGGAGATAATGCTAGCTGTTACGCGGCGTGATCCCGTGAGGCCCGGGATCCGTTGGAGGGGTTTTTGGGATCACCACGTAGTGGCATATCGGTATCCCCGAGCTGATGTCTTTAAGTCCCGAACTGGGTTGAGTTCCAAAGTGTCTTAGCATCAAGGTGTTCTTGTTGCGATCTGGTACCGAAACAAACTCGTCCCGAGGTCAATTTTGCCCGGGGTGGTTGGGTACCCGAGCTCGATCTGCTGCGGACTGGTCATGATAAGCTGAATTGTCATCTCTTGGTCAGGTCGTGTCCATGTGTCCCCTCTTTACTAGGTTGGGCCAAATCACCCTTCATCAATTGCCCCCAACTCCCCGAGCTAGGGGTCTCGACCCGGTGCGGGGAGTTCATGACGAGACAAGTGGATTTGGCCCGAGGTCCGAGCGGCTTGTCAGACGAATCACTGGTCGGACCTGTTCAGCTATTCGGCTCAACAGGAATAACCCAGGTCGCATCTGGTTTATGTGCAGACGTCACACAATCTACAAACTCTGCGGACGTCACACAATCTACAAACTCCGCGGACGTCAAAAAATGCGCTAAACCGATTTCAATCTCGGGGGTCGTGCAACCGGTTTTCCTAAGAGCCGTTGGATTGCTTCGATCTCGACCGTTGATTTTCGGACATACCAGCTATAAATAGGGGGCCCGAGACTCATTTGCTTCGCCACAAATTCGCAAATCTTCGTTTTGAGGAAGCATTCAAGCGCCTTAGCTCGATTTCTCCAATCCAGTGTCTTCTTTCAGTTCGGTATTTCTTTGGTGTGTCTTCCCTAGCTCTCCTTTTCTGATTTGTCTTTTCTTCGCTATGTCTAGTTTAGCTTTGATAGTCTTTTAGATGAGAGAGGTGAATTTGCTGGGGCCGAAGTGGGTACCTCGGCTTAGGTCGTAGGTCGCCTTACCGAAGAAGCTACATCGGATCAAGAAGCGGTCCGCGGTCCTCCTGAGGTGGAATCACCTCGGGAGGCGCAAGAGGCCTCCGGTGGTCTGGTGTCCACCTCGCACCGAGGTCGGCAGCTAGATAACTTTGGCCCATCGACGATGATAGCGGACAGGCTCCAGGCCTTAGTAGTTGGGTATAGGCTTCCGAGTGATCTTGTCTATAGTCTTCCGATAGGTAACTTTCCCTGGGAGCACAGTCATGACGAGATCGTGATTTTCGAGGAGCAACTCGCATCTGGTCTTCATCTTCCACTTCACCCCTTAATCGTCGAAGTAATTAAACTTTTCAACATTACCATAGATCAGTTGCACCCGAACTCCATCCGCAGCATAGTAGGAACCATCTCGCTCTTCCACGACTCTAACTTGCCCCTTGATCTTGACATTTTTCTTCAATCCTTTCAATAAAGAAAAATTCCTCCTATGTTCTACCCGAGCACATAGAGGGCGGCCATCCAAAATCTAAGATGACCCTTATTTTGGTCCGTAACACTAAGGGGTGGCCTTTCCCGGCCCACTAGAGGGCGGCCATCCAAAATCTCGTTGTGAGGCTGAACTTGAAGACAAGGGAAGCGCTCCAGTCCTGGGCGGAGCTCGGTCTCAAGTTCGCGGACTATGTGACAGAAGACAAGGTCGTGCAGGCCGGTCTGAGTCTTGGTAGGACGTTACTTTTGTGCTACCTTTGTTTTATTTTGATATTGTTTCTGACGTTTTTCTTTTGTTACAGCAATCATGAAGCTTCCTGCAAATGAGCTCCTTAGAAGGATGAAGGGGAAGAAGAAGCGAGCTGTCAAAAGACCTCGCGTTGAGTCTTCGCAGGCTGCCGTCCCTGAGCCTGATCAGCCCTCCACTATGAAACCTCCAGTGATCGATCTAGTTGAGGAGGAAACAGGAAGGGTTTCCCCGCCCCGCGCGCCTGAGGAGGCAACATCTTCGGAGCCTGCCCCTGCGGCTACCACTTCTTCGGGCAGCGAGGGGGTAGTTCAGAGCATCTGGACTTCGAAGTATAGCATTCTCAAGAGCAAGAGCGCGGTATACGCCGAGGAGGTCGCCAACTAAGCCGAGCTATCGGTTGCTCAGCTCGGAACTCGAGCGGCTACTCATTGTATAGTGGTAAGTTGTCTTTACTTCTTAAATTCTGTACTTGAGAACTTTTCTTGTAATAACTGTTGTTCTTCTCTTGGCAGGTGAACTCCACTGTGCACGCTCTGATGTACCAGTTCGAACTGCACCTGAAGCAAGGTATTGCAGCTAAGTCCTCGTCTCGCGAGGCTCACGCCGAGTTAAACCTGGCCCGCAGTGAGAATAACCAGCTAAAGAAGGATGCGCAGGCTCAAACAGAACTGATCACATTGTTGATGCCTGAGAAGGAGGAGCTCGCGAGGCAGAGATTGCGTTACAGCGGGAGGTAGAGAACCTCATGGCCCTCGTGAAGGAGCGGGCTGAGATACTCCTTCAGGCAATGGAGGAGGCCAAGACTAAGGCTGTCGAGGAGTATAAGACCTCGGAGGAGTTCCACGCAGAGCTAATCGAGGCGGGGATGGAAGGATACCGTAAGGGCTTCAAGCTTAGTAGGTGGCTAACCCGACGTGAATTTCCGCAGCTCGATCTAAGCGCCATCACCACCTCAAGAGTCACAGATGAAATGAATGTCGAAGTTGCCAAGGACCCGGACTCCGAGGTGGAGAGTGACGACGAGCTGCTCGGCGACATTGAAGAGGCCGGTGTTGATGAAAGGGTTGACCCTCCTGCTGAAGCCTCGGGCAAGGGCGATGAGCACCCAGACGAGTAGATCTTTCATATTGTATACCCCGGGCCTATGAGCTCGGTTTATAGTAGAAAATGTTTTTCTTTTTTTTTTGTAGCGAACTCCTCATATTAATGAAATACACTTGTCTTTTTGTCAAAAATGTTCCAAGTGCAAATAAATCCCTAACTGGCGAACTAACCAAATAGGGTGGTGGATGTTGGCATGCCTTTGACACTTATCGCACTTCTTGACGAGCTAGAGTGTGTCTGCCTTCATTGTGGGCTAATAGTAGCCCTGTCGTAGTGCTTTCTGGATGAGAGCCCTGCCCCCCAAGTGTCCACCACACAAGCCTTCATGAGTGTCACGGAGGACGAGCTCGACCTCTGAGGGTCGCAAGCAGCGCAAGTAGGGGAGCATGAAAGATCTCCAGTACAGCTGTCCGTCTATAATGACGTACTTCGCTAACTG